AGACATGTTCATTTCACTTTATAGAAAAGAGGTAAGCAACTGAATAATCATCTCAACCCTCTCATGTTTTGGATTTTCTTAACCTTTTTATTTTAGAACAGTTCTAGATTTACAGAATTATTGCAAAGATAGTACAAATAGTTCTCATAAGCCCCATACTCAATGTGCCCTATTATTAATATCTTACATTAGTATGGTACATTTTCACAATTGGTGAACCAGTATTAATATGTTATCATTAACTGAAGTCCATCCTTTATTCAGATTTCCTTTGTTTTTACCTAATGTCTTTTTCTGTTCCAGGATCCCACCAGGAAACAACTTAGTAGTCATATCTCCTTGAGCATTTCTGGATGATGACAATTTCTCAGATTTACCTTGCTTTTGATAACCTTGACAGTTTTGAGGAGTACTGATCAGCTATTTTGTAGAATATCCCTCAGCTGGGCTTTGTCTGATGTTTTTCTCATGGTTAGACTGGGATTGGCTTTCTGAAATACCTTTGGCTTCATTTTTTAACTCTTAAAGTCACCATAATATCATATTAGAATAATTTGGATTAATATTATTATTCAGATAATCATTTCCATCTGGTTAAAAATGAAAATGTCTGGGGCGCCTGGGTGCCCAGTCAGTTAAGCGTCTGCCTCTGGCTCAGGTCATGATTTTGGGGTCCTGAGATCAGCCGTGTCCAGCTCCCTGCTCAGCGGGGATTCTGCTTCTCCCTCTCCCTCTGCCCCGCCCCCCTGCTTGTGCTCTCTCGCTCTCTCTGTCTCAAATAAATAAATAAAATATTTTTAAAAAATGAAAATGTCTGAAAGTATTCATGCTAGAGTAGATGTAAGTGAATTTAAGTAGATCACAGTGAATTATCAATCATACTAAAGCTCTAAAATATAGTTATTATTTTATATATTCTACCTTATAAAAACCACATTAATAATTAATATTAATAAATTGAGCCTCAAATTAGATACAGTAGTGAAACCACAGCTAGGTAGGCATAATTCCTAAACTTACAGCGGGTCATTTTTGATTAAGAGCTTTATGTATTTTAAGGAACTAAATTATATATTTTGATATATTCTCTTCCAAATGGCAGGTTGATTTTAAAAAGTTATTTTCCAAGTGGCTTTAAGGGATTAAAAATATCCTTGAAATATGAGGGAAAACATGATCTCCTATTATTACTTACTACCTTGTTATAATTTATTAATTCTTACCCTTATCTTGTTCAAATTTAACAAAGGAATGTAAAAGTGAACAGTTTAGCACATGGAGGAAAGAAAAATGTACTCCGTTAGTAAGGTCACTGACTCAGTGACAGGTCCTTTTTCTCATGACACAATGCATCTTATTTATGATGGGAAAAGTCACAGGAATTTCCATGTCAGTCAAGCTCTGGACTTCAATCCAGACTTTTACAAAATATTTTGATTAGTATGTCCCAGATTATTATTTGGCTTTAATCCTAAAGATAAGGCCAACAGAAGTTGGATGTGTTCAACACCCCAAGGGAAAATGTTACCTGACATGACCTTGGTAAAGGTGAACCAGCTCTAGTCCTTGACTGGGGGTAAAAAATAAACAGCTAGGCAGGTGGGCAAGCCCAGAACAGAAGCGCTTGATTAGCTGCAAAAACTACTAGACTATGTTCTTGCTAAGATTGTGCAGCAAGTAATTCAAAAAGGAAAACAAAAAGCAAAGAAAACCCACCCAGTACAGCACCCACAGAAGACATCGCATCCACCTGTCAGATGGGTCAGTCACACAGGTCGTAGACTCAAGCCGAGTTTCCGGGCATCAAAGAGAGCCTGAGCCTGCAGACGGCTTGCAGACTCAATACGTTAATCAGAAAAACAAGTGAGGAAATGTCTTCACTAAAACAGCACAGGTAGGTACCCAACAGCATCTCAGTAAATGCTTAAAGCCCCTCAAGCAGCCCCACAAAAGTTTTGTCGACAAAAGAGAAGAGACCCATTGCTGTTGTCACTGCTCACTTTCTGATTGCGACATCATCTGTAGGAGGAGCAGGTCTAAGGACTGAGGTCAAAAAGAAGAAAGTCCCCTTCTAAGAGTAGCCCTTCTCCTGATTTTCCCGTTTATATACCAACCTGTTTATATCTCAGCCCAAAAAAGAAAACAATTATAGCCTTTAAAGTCACTTCCCTCAGTGTCTGTATGCACATTACGTTTCAAAGACTGGGGAGAGAAATCATCTAATCACAGAAGGTCAAATAAGAAAGGGACATAAGTTTTACTGGGTCCAACTACCTATCTGATTAATGAAGGGAAAACACAGGCTTCATGATGCCCCAGAAATTAAGGGCAGGACTTTTTTTTTTTTTTAAAGTTTTGGTCCAGTTTCCTCTAGTAAATCAGGATCAACCTTGAAGAAGTGACATACCTGTTGAGAGCTGATATTTATAGGTTGTTTTAAAACGATCCATGTGACACTCTCAAGAAGAGGCGGGACTGTAAGGGAACCAGGATATGTCCAGTAGTCCCAGGACGGAGGAAGCAGAGATAATGGGTCAAAATTTGTGAATCGCGTTTGTTTACCCTGGTGGAGAAAACAGAATTCCCACAAATTACAATGGGAGAGCTTTACAGAGCCCTCAAAAAAACAAAAACAAAAACAAAAACACATGCATCCAATGAAAGACTATCTTACTGGAATTCTTCAACTCATGGAATTATTTAGTATCTGCCTTTGTATCTTAAAAAAAAAAAGTTTCTACCTTAATCTAAAAATTTTAGATGAGGTAGCATATTAGATTTATTTATTTAAGAAGCACAAGATTTGTTTAAAATGTGTTGCAGTTAGGGCGCCTGGGTGGCTCAGTTGGTTAAGCAACTGCCTTCTGCTCAGGTCATGATCCTGGAGTCCTCGGATCGGGTCCCACATCAGGCTCCCTGCTCAGCGGGGAGTCTGCTTCTCCCCCTGACCCTCCCCCCCTCATGCTCTCTCTCTCTCATTCTCTCTCTCTCAAATAAATAAAATCTTTAAAAAAAAAAAAGTTTAAAATGTGTTGCAATTAAACGCTGATTGTGCAACACTCCAATACCAGAAACTAATCATGCATAGATTTATTAGTAATGATTTTAGATAATTTAAGCCCCTTCATCATTTTCAAAAGACAAATGACAATAGGTTGATTCTGCTCTATTGGTCGAGTATGTTCCAAACCTGCTTCAAAGCAGATAGCATATGCTCTAAAGCTGAAGTTATTAAAAGAAGGTAAGAAACTTCAGGAGAGAACAAGGAATACATTAGTCATTAGCAAATAATATTTCATTTTACCTTTTCTTTAATAGAATCCAAAATGTCAGTAATCTTTTGCAGCTGAGAATTATGTTCACCAATCTGAAAGCACGAAATTTCAAAAGAAATAGTTACTGTAGCAGAACAGGTCTGGTTCACTCCATTTCAGTCACTGGTTTTGAACTGTTTTTTTTAAAAAAAACCTATGCCCAGCCCAGAACAAACAGAGATTGTTTTATAATGAAGCTGTCTTTTACCTGCTGGCTTTATCATGCCAGAAGAATCAGAACAAGGTAATGTTACAGGCTGCTTGGCTGAATTTTAAGCTTGATTCCAAAACTAGTAGTAACAGCTACATAGTTTTTCCATTTTATGAATGTTTAAGATACAGGTTAGCTTAAGAGAAAACTCCCTTAGGAAACTCTAACATAATACCTGCACTATTCAACCAGATGTGACCTTCAGACCCTAGATCCAAACTGGCACTTGTGACGTCAAAGCATTAAAAGAAAGTATCTCCAGGGACACCTGGGTGGCTCAGCCGTTAGGCGTCTGCCTTCGGCTCAGGTCATGATCCCAGGGTCCTGGGATTGAGTCCCACATGGGGTTTCTTCCTCAGCGGGGAGCCTGCTTCTCCCTCTCCCTCTGCCCCTCCCCCTGCTTGTACTCACTCTCTCTCTCAAATAAATACAATCTTAAAACAAGAAAAAGAAAAGAAAAGATCTCTCACTTTCAGCCTAAAATGATTTGAGGTCCTGCACCAAGACAATATATTATCATGACTAGAAATCATCATCAGAAAAATATATGTACCTCTTTTCATTATTTGGGATGTCCTGACTCTACCTAAGGTTTTAAGTCCTTCAGGATTCAAGTATAATCTCTTGCCTCACTCACATTCCACGGCCACCAGCGGACTTGGCAGCCAAAGGGAAGGAGCCGCAACCATTCATCCCACCCTCCATTCTGCCCTATACTCCCCCAGTCCCAGCCCCAACGAGTTCCAACATCGCACGCAGAGTCTGGTGGCAGAGCAAAAGCGCCTGCCCTACAAGAATGCGGTCACAGTGGGAGCTGAGCGGCCCAACCCACCCACGGGGATTTTAACAAGGATACTTACTTCACTACATGTGACTATGAGACAAAGGAAAAGACAACAACAATTTTTAAAAACTGGTCAGTGTGTTTGAGACAACAAACCACAGTGGTAAAACTGGTGCTTCAAGAATCAGGGACGTGAACTTCACTCTGTCCTGTATCTCTAAATACTGTTTAATCAGGAAGAGCCTATAATAAAGATTTTCTTCTCAGAATCTCAACTGTTACTCCAACTATTGTTGCGGCTCCCGCTGCCGTTTCTATTCACATAAAAATGATCAATGGACAATAAGAGGAGACGTAAGACGATACTCCTACGATACTCCTAAGGTAGTTCTGGGCTATTAGGTAAATCATCAACTAATACATAAATGTTTAATATTAATTTCAAAAGGAAAACATTACACTTAGAATGAGTTTACTATTAAAAATGGTAGACTATCCTTTCCACAACTGAAACTCTTTATCCAACATGGCTGATGAATTATTTAAAATGAAATCAGTGGATTCTCACCTGTAAAAATACTCCCAAGACAGCTAGTCCATCTGGCTCATGAGCTGCCTCAACAAAGCTGGGGTATTTGTCTGAATTCCAATGAACAACATGGAGCTGAAAGGGAGGTATGCAACATAATTCAAATGTTATCTTTTAAAAGTCCTTAAAAACATAAATGAAAATAAAATATTTATATAGATGTTCCTGGGCTGTGCACTCATGTGTATAATGTATTCTTCACAGAATCCACCTATTTGCTGTTGTCCAAAAGCCAAAGACATGTACCATGGCCACTGTAGTCTATGGTATACTATGGGAAAGTCTACCACACTAGTTAGAATGTTCTGGAGCATCCTGCCAAGCCCCTCTGGCCCGAGCAATCTCCAACCATTGCTCCTGAGTGACTTAAGGCTTCTTCCTAGCCTTCCAAGGGTGGGACTGCAAGAGAGCAGCCTCAGGTCAGATCCCAGCTGGTAGCAGAGTCCAAGAAACAAGCTTAGGCTCACAGGAAGAGGGAGAAGTCAACCAAGGGTTTGCAGTGACGATTCTGCTGCTAAGGACAGTACCAACTGTTCCTGAAATTGCCTAGTCAGATGTTCACCACTATACTTGAAGGCTTTTTATGACTTGAAAGTTCAAATTCTCCTTAAGAGAACTATTTTAGGCAGTATTCACACATGTATTACCAGCTATAATTATGTTTAGATCCTTTGCTGGTAGCAAGTTTTAATAGGGACAAAGAGGCTTTGTCTAGGAACAGGAACTAGGAACCAGACATGTCTGAGGATGGAAATGAGAGGCAGTTGGTGCCGAGTTAAGGGAAAGGAAAGAAGGGGAGAGGGAAGGAGTTGGAGGACCTGGAACTCTAGAAAATAGAAAATACACCTACTTCACAACACTGCCCTCTTGCAAGTGGCCTCCTACAAAAACCAAACGAGTCCTATATGTTCTGCCATTGTAAACAGTACAATAACCCAAACACACAAACTGTGAAAGACTATAGAATAACAATAAGGCAGAAATCCACCTTGGAGAGATCTTCACTCCTGATTAAGGGGAAGAACACACTAAGATAGACGCCAAAGGGCAATATGCCATGCTCAAACAATTTGGCCAAGATCGTGAGGACACCATGTTGTCCAAGAACCCCTGCATGAGGGACTGACTTCAGATTAAATCACCTTTCAGTGAATCCTTTTGGCACCTCAGGGCGGAAACACATATGAAGGGTTTCATGCACAAATCACCTTTCTAGCTGTCCCTTAAAAGAGAGAATTGAGTATGTTCAAAGACATGGTTTTAATCCCATGCTTTAAATATAACTTCATATCTTATAGGCAACTAATATGGGGGAATTTCTGGATAAATAAGAATTATCACAACTATAAATACATGAGCTACAAAACCATAAAATAGTCCACCATCTATAAACAATCAAGGAAGGTTGTGGGATATGCAGACTGAAAATACAAAGGTGGATCCCTGTGGTGCCATGTTCTAAGTTGGTGTGAGATAGTTGGAGGAGGAACGAAACCTTCAAAACACTGGATGATGAAACAAAATTCATTTGGCTTATATGAGATAGAGACATTCCACTCTAAGGGAGGGGCTGAAAAGAACTCTAAAGTTGTTTTCAATGGCTCTATGCCAATCCATCAGCTCACTTATTAAGAGATGACACCAAAGATATAAAAAGATGTGAAATGATGTCTTTAGGTTCACAATAACAACTGATTAGAAAATGAATATGTAACTAAAGAGAGATGAATCTATATATCCTTTTGCTGATTAAAAAAACAGCAACTATTTAGGGGC